TATTGTAAGTTCTTCCTGTTGTACAGATCCTTTGATCAATAGAAAATGGCCTTCACTGTCTCTTATGACCCTCTTCACTCTAAAATCGATGTGGTCTGATATAAGGATGGCTACCCCAGCTTTTTTTTGGGAGCTGTTTGCCTGTAGGATTGTTTTCCAGCCTTTGACTCTGAGTCTGTGTTGGCTTTGACTATTGAGATGTGTTTCTTTCAGGCAGCAGAATGTTGGGTTCAATTTTTGAATCCATCCTGCCACTCTATGTCTTTTAATTGGTGCGTTTAGCCTATTGACATTGAGATAGATTATTGTTATGGGATTTTGTCCCATTGTTCTGTTGAAATTTTGTGTATTTGAGGGGCCTGTCTTGCCTTAAAGTAGCCCATTTAGTTGTACTTGTAACCATGGTTTTGAGTCTATGAAGTTCCTGAGCTGTTGTTTGTCTGTGAAACTGTGTGTTGTTCCTTCTATTATGAATGAGAGTCTCGCTGGGTAAAGTATTTTTGGAGAGGCATTTATTTCATTGAGTTTTTTCACTATGTCCCACCACTGTTTTCGAGCCCTGAGGGTTTCATCAGAAAAATCAGCTGTGAATTTTAAGGATTCTCCTTTGTAAGAGATTTCTTTCTTCAATCTTGCTGCTTTCAGAATTTTGTCTCTGACTAAGGTTTTGGTCATTTTGATCAGGATGTGTCTTAGGGTATTTTTATTCGGATTTCTTCTAGCTGGTACCCTTCGGGCCTCCTGAATGTGGTCACAAGTTTTCTTCAGCTCTGGAAACGTTGTAGCAATGATTTCTTTGACAGTTTCTTCTTCATCAAGGTTTTCTTCCTGTCCCTCTGGGACTCCAATAATTCTTATGTAACCCCTCTTGGCTTCGTCACAATCTTCTCTTGCCATCTGTTCTCGAACTGTGAGTCTCTTTTCCATTTTCTGCTCTTTTCTGGCAAGTCTTTGAACTTGATCTTCGAGCTCACTGATTCTGTTCTCAGCCGCTGTTACTCTGCTGCTGAGGCCTTCCACTGAGGTTTTCAATTCGGCTACCAGGTTTTTCAGGTCCGACATTTCCTATTGCATTTTCCTCATTTCTGCCTTCAAATCCTCTTGTCTTTTATTGGCATTGCTTTCCATTGTTTCTTTTAGTTCCCTAAGCATCCTAAGTAGCTCCCTTCTGAATTCCTTGTCAGAGAGGTTGTCTAACGCTGTATTACTGTTGGTGTCTTCTGGGCTCTCCTCGTGAATAAGAAAGTTTGGTGGGCTTTTGCGTTGCTTTACCATTGTGACCAGTGTGGTTTGGTCCTTCACAGTCACTGTTACTATTCTGATTGAGTGAGGAGAGACTGCCAGGAGCCGTTCAGCTTTGTTGCTGCTAGTTGGGCCTCTTCTACCTTTCTGAGTCTGTTCTTCTTCTCAATCGGGCATTAATCTTTGTTTTATAACTGACATTGAATGAAACTTTTGGAGGAGGTGCTATTTACTACTGAGCTTGTACAGCTATTTTCAAACAGGAATTTTGTTGGAAATGGAGTAGGCGAGTGGGATGTTGTTGAATTGTAGTAGAAGAGGTGAGAAATTTTTGGTTGGTATTAGGTGACAAGTTGATGAAAATGATGAAAGGATGAAGTTCCAAATTGCTTGGGGTGGGGGTGAGTGATATACCTGCCCACCAGGAAGGAGGACACGCCCACTTTTAGGAGGCCATGCCCCCTTCTTTGAGGCCACGCCCCTAGCCAGTCCCAGGCCACTCCCTCCCAGGGTCCTGGATGGAGGGGACCGATGGGGCCGGCCTCCGCTGGGCTCCTCCAACCCACCTGGATGGGGGGGCCAGTGGACTGCTGGGCGGCCGGTCCCAGAGCTGGACGCGCGGAGGAGTCCGCCCTGTCCTCCGGCGGGGGGCTTTTTTAAGTTTTTTAATGAATCACCATGAGATATAGTTACAGATTTACAAACTTTTATGATTATGTTTCAGTCATACAATGATCGAATACACATCCCTCCACCTGTGTCCATTCTCCACCACTGATGTACCCAGTATCCCTCCCACCACCCCTTACCCCATCTCCCCCTTACACTAAAAAGGAAGAGAAATGAAAAGGAAACAGCAAATTACATGTAAAATATTGTTTCCTGTTATTAAACCAATATATTTCTGTTCTATGAATTGACAGGAAAACCCACATACTAATAAATATGGGCTGAAGCAATAGCATACCAGGTACGGTATTCGCCTTGCACATGGCTGACCTGGCCAACCCAGGTTAGATTCCTCCACCCCTCTCAGAGAGCCTGGCAAGCTACTGAGAGTATCTCATCCGCATGGCAAAGCCTAGTAAGTAACCCGTGACATATTCAATATGCTAAACACATTAACAAGTCTCACAATGGAGACGTAACTGGCCTCTCTCAAGCAAATTGGCGAACAATGGGAGGACATTGACAGTGATAGTGCTACTAATCTACATATATATATATGTGTATGTGTGTGTGTGTATATATATATATATATATATATATATATATATATATATATATATATACTAGTGCAGGAAGAATGGTGGAGTCGAAGAGATGTGCCCAGATTCGGAGACTCTTCGTCCTCTTAGCTATTTTTTTTAAAGCTCTTGAAGGCGATCCATGCCATTCTCTTTCTCCTGTACAGCTCAGGTGCCAGGTCGCTCATCATGTTGAGTTCTCAACCTAGGTACACATAACTTCTGCCTTCAGAGATGTTTGCTCCATTGAGCGGAACTTCAGGAACTAGTCCGTTTTTCATGGACATTGTCTTTTTGAGATTCAGCTGCAGTACGACCATTCCACACTCAAGATCAAAGTCATCCAGCATTTGTGCCACTTGGCTAATGCTTGGTGTTATTAGAACAATATCATCAGCGAAGTGGAAGTGGTGCAGTTGCTGACCGTCTATGTTCACTCCCATTCCTTCCCATTCCAGTTGTTGCATGATGTTCTCGAGGGTGGCACTGAAGATTTTTGGTAAAATGTATTGCCCTGATGAACCCCTCTCTTTACCTCAAAGATCACTTCCTTGTAGAATGGTGAGATCCTGGTGGTGAATCTGTAATACATCTCTTGGACTCCACCATTCTTCCTGCACCTCAGAGACCTGGGCCCTAGAAAACAGGATGAGAACACTATTCAGGTCTCCCAAAGAGAAATCGAAAGAGATATGCTTGGAATATCCTGTTTCACTAAAGTGAGAGAAGGAATCCAGAGTTCCGACCTCCATTGACAATCACCAATCAGGAATGCTGTCTCATTTGCCAAGGCATCAAAAATCAGATGGGCTAGACACGTAATGCGAATTGAAGATGGCCGCTGGACTAGAGCAGTTAACAACCGGATTCCACAGGACGTCAAAAGAACACATGGCCACCCACCTATGAGATGATCAGACATCTTCGTCAAAACCCTGAACAAATGGTTTGAGGCTCTTCATGCCCCTGAAGTGAGCAGACACCATTGGGCTACAGTAGCTTGAGACAGGGACAAATGGAGACATTACTGGAGCCTGTTTGTCCTAATCGATGAGTAACAGGATGTCAAGTGATCAAGTGAGGTAATGGAATGTAGTAAGTAAGTAAGTAAGTAAGTAAGTAAAGGCCCTCCTGTTGTTCATCGATTTGCTCGAGCGGGCCCAGTAACATCTCCATTGGAGATTTTGTTGTTACTGTGTTTGGCATATCGAATATAACACGGGTGCCTTGCCAGGCTCTGCCGTGTGGGCGAATCTCGGTACCTTGCCGAGCTCTCCAAGAGGGGCGGAGGAATAGAACTCGGGTCGGCCATGTTGGCTGCGTGCAAGGCAAACGCCCTACCGCTGTGCTATCAGCCCAACCGGCAATGGAATATAGAGTATCATAATATTTTTACTAACAGTACTGCATCCTCCACCCAGATCCTCTGAATTCCAGTAGGCGGGGGTCACACCCACCAACTGGCCCCCTGGTGCCCTGTAATCCCATCAACGGCCAAGACTCAGAGACTATAAAAACCAGCTCCCAGAAGAGAACAGTGCAGTCTCCTGCTCCCGTGCCTGGCTGTCCTGGCCGAGGCCCCTTGGAGGGGAGCGGGTTGAGCTTTCCTCCCTGCCCCGACCAGAGCTCCGGCAGCCGAAGACCTCCAGGACCAGCCACCACTATGCTGAGACCACTCTCCACACACCTGAAGGTACCGGCAGAGGAACAAGGCAAGCGGGTCCCGGGGCTGAGATCTCCAAGCCTACTTGGATCGGGGCTGACATCTCATTTTGACATCTTATTATCTCATTCCTACTTTGGACAAACTGGCAGGCTACCGAATGTAACCTGCCCACACAGCAGATTCTGGCAAACTCCCCGTGGCATACCCAATATGCCAAATACCAGTAACAATGATGGGTCTCATTCTCCTAAAGAGCCTTGAATATTGCATTTTCTTAAAAATCTCTGGGCTAGGATGAAGGAGATGTTACTGGGGCCTGCTCGAGGCAATCAACGAATAACAGGATGGTCGTGATTCGTCGTGATTCGAACAGTACTGCAACTATCCAATAAACATTTAAAACAGAATAACATATTCATATTAGAAACAAGAATACATTTCACCTGGATATGCAATCAATGTTAAGACTAGAATGTATACTATGATAGAGTAGATATAGATGAATATTTTATAATAGGCTTTAGTGAAAGTATTTTTAATTAAACACTTAGACTTGGGGCAGGAGAAATAGTACAGTGGGTAGGGCGTATGCTTTGCAAGTAGACTACCCAAGTTTGAGCCACAGCATCCCATATGGTCCCCTGAGCAACACTGGGAGTGATTTCTGAATGCAAAACCAGGAGTGATCCCTGAGCATCACCAGGTGTGACCTAAGAAGGCAAGAGCAAAACAAACATAAAAAAAAAACCCTTCAGACAAAAAAAGCTACGAATTTGCTTAAAATTACTAAAAAAGATTTTGCATTAAAAAAAATCACGAGGAAAGAGAAAAGTATTACTAAGCGAATACTTACCTGGCAGGGGAGACACCATGATCACAAAGAGTGATTTTCCCAAGACAAGACTTTTCCATTATACTCTGGATGTGTCGATCCCCACAATTTTCCCAAATGTGAAAAACTCAACTGCATAATTTGTGGTAGTAGGCAGTGGGTTCTAATTTTCTCCTCGAAAAAAAGGAATTATTATGAGAAAATATTCAGATATTTTATTTTACATAACTCTTAAGTACATATAGATACATGCATACCACACAGAATATTATCATCAGTATCAAAATGTTGAAGAAAAATACAAATACTACAGAAATATAGATGATATATAAGCATATTCCCAAAAGAAAAAAGTACAAATTATTTTTAAGTATAGGAAAGCTCTCAATTCAAAACAGAAATACATATTAAAGAATATTTTCACCTACTTAATTAACTGAAATACTTTATTGAAAGGCTTTATTGGAATGCTTATGAGAAGATGGTGATTCAAATATTACAAGATGACTACAAAATGATAATATACCTATTTATAAATCAATATTCAATATGTATTTCTCTAAATATCACTGGAATAAACAAGAATCTCTTGGAAAAATTAATATTTCTATATACGGTCTGGGAAAAATGCCAGACAAAAGGGAAGTGCTCAGAAACTAATCAGAACATATAAAAAGAGACAAACAGTTTCTACATTTCTGACAATTTAAGCATTAAAACTAATAATACTGGCAATTTTTATTACACACTAAATAAATCTCAATAAGCATTTATGATTCCACGTGATATCAAAGAAAGAAAAAATGAGGAAAAATAAGCAAAGGATCTCTAATTTTCTAAAGATTGACATTAAAACAAATGACAAAATTGGAAAAATTATCATTGTGAACACAAACCTTTCTTGTGTCTATAAAATGATTATTTTAGGCTTGACATATTATTAGATGATGAAAAGCATTGCAGTTTGAGAAGACACTAACAAGTGTGATGCTTAAAATCAGTATATTTCTTTTAAATTATAAAGAAATCAATTCTGCTACTCTTGAGATCACTGAGACATTCAACATTAAAGTAGGTAATCTGAGTTCCCATGGCTCAAAAGTAAAAAATGTATGCCTTATAAAAGTGAGGTCATAGGCTTAACATCCAGACTAATATTCTTTTTAAAAAGTACTTAATCTAAGTACCATCAGTATTAGATAAAAATGGCATTATGCATTTACTAATATAAAAATGGGAAATATATAATAACTAGAGGTCTTTTAAAAATAATTACTTTGAAAGTTCAAATGAAGTAATACTAATTTCAGTTAGTTTAGAATATGAAACATTCTGGTAGACACCTAGCTAAAATTCTTTTAAAAATATAACAATATCATGGGGAAGAAAAAGTGGTTGAAAGCCTGATTGAAAGATAGGAATATTAAAAACAAAACAATAAAATCAAATTTGCCAATCAATTCAACCAATACAAATCCATGGACCCACACTGAAATTTACATAAAAAAGAAATATGGAAATTGTCTTTTAACAATTAAAGTAATAAGAATTTAGACACTATTTTAGATTTTTTGGATAATATTTGATATCTTATGGGTAATAGTGTGTTTATGTAGAAAACTGCAAGCTAAAGCATAAAGAACAGCTCTGCAAAGAGTGATCCTAGAACTTATTTTAAATTATTCTCCAATACAAAAGAGGAAAGTATGGCTTAAGCATGGCTGTGGCTGGAACTGGAGGTCTTCAGCTGTCGGGGCTCTGCTCGGGGTGGGGAGGAAAACTCAACCCACCCTCCTCCAAGGGGCCCAGGTGATGGCAGCCAGGCGCGGAGGCAGGAGACTCTGCGCTGTTCTCTTCCAGGAGCTGGGTTCTATAGTCTCTGGGCCTTGGCCATTGATGGGATTACATGGCACCAGGGGCAGTTGGTGAGTGTAATGCATACATACTGGAAGATGGGGGGGTCTGGGTGGAGGAGGCTCAGTCCTAATCCAAGCAGGCCTGAAGATCTACGCCCGAAGTCCCACACACCTGGGTACCTCTGCAGATTCCTTCATGCGTGAGGCTCTTCCGAACATCTGGGGAGCATTAAAACTATTAATACTGGCAATATTTATTGCATACTAGACATCTTACTATCTAGTTCTTACTCTGGAGAACCTGGCAGGCTATCAAAAGTATCCTGCCCACACGGCAGAGTCTGGCAAACTCTCCGTGGCGTATTCAATATGCCAAAACCCAGTGACAATGATGGGTCTCATTCTCCTGACTCTGAAAGAGCCTCGAATGTGGCACTTTCTAAAATCAAGGTTAGGATGAAGGAGATTTTACTGGTACCTGCTCCAGGAAATTGATGAACAACAGGATGTCAGTGATACAGTGATATAAAAGAGGATGACTAGAGACAGTACAGAGATTGTAGTGATAGTATAAGATGTGACCAATTCCTGTTTGGTTTTTAACATTAGTGTACATAATAGATATATCCTCCAAACTAAAGAAAACTCAAAAAAATAATAAATTAAAGAAAAACACTGTAGCACTGTAGCACTGTCCTCCTATTCTTCATCAATTTGCTTGAGTAGGCCTAGTAATTTCTCCATTGTGAGACTTAGTGTTGTTGTGTTTGGCATATCGAATATATCACAGGGAGCTTTCCAGGCTCTGCCGTGCCATGGGATACTCTCAGTAGCTTGCCAGGCTCTCCGAGATGGGTGGATGAATCAAACGTGGGTTGGCCGCATGCAAGGTAAACACCCTATCTGCTGTGCTATTGCTCCATCCCAAAGAAAAAAACAAAAAATAATTAATAAAAGGTAAAGGCCCTCCCGTTGATCGTCGATTTGCTCGAGCGGGCCCAGTAACGTCTCCATTGGAGACTTTGTTGTTACTGTGTCTGGCTGGAGCGGTAGCACAGCAGGTAGGGCGTTCGCCTTACACGCACGCGGCCCACATGGCCGACCCGAGTTCGATTCCTCCGCCCCTCTCAGAGAGCCCGGCAAGCTACCGAGAGTATTCGATATGTCGATAATTAATAAAAGGAAAACAAAAAATAATATATAAAAGAAAGAGCATAAATGTCACAAAATCTTATGATTAGTGAATATGAGAAATTGGTAGCTATTTGCTATTTGAAATCTCATCTCAATCTCTTTTCACTCTGAAATTTTTGAAAATAAAAAGTGTAGAATTGAATACTTTTAAAAATATATAATTTGTTCGGCCACCATTCAATCTGAACACAGCTGCTTCTCCCAAAAAGGAGAATAACATGAGGCCCCAATAGCCATGCCACCAGATGTCCTGCCAGGCTCTTTTCACTGGGGGTATCCCAGAGAGGGGCAGGTGAGAGCCCTACCACTCCAAGGGACCCAGCCCCAAGAGCCGACCTCCACAACCCAACCACCGCCAAACTCAAGGCCACTCCCCATATGCTTGGCTGGGCCTTACATATGAGTAAACATATTCCTGAACACATAATAAGACACTCACTATCCATTATCCATAATTACCACATCATATTTGATGGGATTCAGACAGTAGACAATAAATCATAGAGGGAAATATATATATATCCATATATACATATTTTCATATATATATATATATATATATATATACCAAAGCTCACATCACCAAAACTTTAACAACATGTTAGTGATATCCTATAGAATGTCTTAATGGCTCCTGCCAAACTAGAACAATCTTCACACGGTTTTCTATATGAACGCATGAAGGTGTAATGGTGGTGGAATGGGTGTTTGAATATTAAATGTAATCAAATACTGTGAACTAACTTATAAAATAAAAAAATAAAATAGATATATATATATATATTACTCTAGGCTTTTCCTAAAAAATAATGACAAATTTTTGATAGCCAATTAAAATGGCGGAGTTCACTTTAGGAGCAACAGAGTAAATTTTTCATTGAATCACATCTTTACAAAGCTATATCAGGAGCAATTTAGATATTTGAGTATTCTAACAGGAAGAAGATAAAGAGCAAAAAATGTTTTATATTTAACATTACCATTCACTCTATGGGATAATATATACTTACTAAATGTTTAGGAATAATAATACTATTTCATTATCTTTTACATAACTAGGAATTGTTAATAAAGGTGATATGCATATTTAAAATTTTAAAAATTCAGATAATGTAGATGGCACACTATAATAATGCATCATACATAATTATGTAGCACGTAGAACACATATTATAACACATATAATATCACATATAAAACTCTCTTATAGAAAGTGTGTTATTAAGACCATCTGGACTGCATATATGATTGAAGCACACTGAAGTCTTTACAAATATAGTCAATTCTGGATAGTCATTTAGGCTATACTTTCCTGCACATCTCAAGACATGTCTCCTTTATATTAAAACCACTATCACCAATCTAAAGTAGCTTGTTGCTTCTCTGCCCCCATTTGCTCATCCCCCTTCACACCCAGTCCAAGATATCTCTTTCCCTTTGTCGTACTGGGGCAAATTTTGACTTTTATTCGGGAAACTTTCAAGGCTAAGAACTAATAGTCCTCTTATGCATGTAACAAATCCAAAAAAAAAAAGAAATAGTCAAGTAAATTGAAGAAAAGAATGACCATATACTCAAACATAAATAGACAAATTACAAAATAGAAACCATAGCACATTTTTTTCTTTGGAAGAACTAATAATACAGAGTTCTTAACAGGGTTACTTTTGGTATTTGAGGCCGAAAACTACGGTTGTGAAGATTTGTGGTGATAAATGCAAATTATTTTGCAATTCTGACTGATGAATTGGATTATCACCAATTCAGTTATCACCATGACATTCAAGAACTCTTACATGTTTTTCAGTGCTAGTGATTTATTCAATCTTGCTATTTTTTTCAAAGAACTAGCTCTTGGTTTCATTAATCCTCTGGACTGTTTTCATTTTTTGTACTCCAGAAAAACAATCATTGTATTGATTTTACAATGAACTTAGAAATATTAATTTCTGCTCTGATTTTTATTATTTCCTTCCTCCTGCCTTCTTTGGCTTATTTTCTGGATTATTTCCCACATTCTTGTGCTGTGAAGTTAGTTTCTTTATGTAGGGTCTTCTTTCCTGGTGAATGTTTGCATGACAGTGATTTTTTTCCCTTAACACCACTTTTGTTGCATTCCACAAGTTC